TGTTCTGCTGCCCGGTGGGGGGGGCTGGGGGCGGCCAAGCCCCGCGTGCTGTGCCACGAGAACGAGATCTACCTGTCCAACGGCAGCGAGTTCGTCTATGTCTACGACCAGGAGGGAAAAGTGCTGAAGGTGAGGGGCCTAGTGGGGCTGGGGAGGGGGCTTTGTCCTGTGTCCCCCACCTCGGGAAGGGGCTCTGGGGCTGGTATCTGGGACACCAGTTGTGTCCCCCCTCACTAGTCACCCATCCTGGGCCAGGGTCCTTCCTAGCATCCCTCCCTCAGGGTTCCCCATCCCCAAACGACCTTCCTGAGCAGCACAGACCCCCTTACCCAGCTCCTGGGGGGGTGGGTGGGCTGCTGCCACCTGACGCCTTTCCTGAACTTGCGAGGCGTTTAATTGAACTGGAAAAGGTTTTTCTGTTTTCTCCCCTTAGCAAAGTGGTGCCTCTTTGCTTTCTGCCCTAGGAAGGGCTCTGCTCTTGTCTCAGCTGTGACAAACAGCAGTCACCCTGTTGGGTTGTACACGGCTTCTTTTTTTAAATGTGCTCCTATTATCGTTCCCAAGAAGCCACCGCTGTAATAATCAGGACTCGCCTCCCACACTGAGCTCCCTCCCAGGAAAGCTGATCACGTACCAGCTCCCTGATCCCTCTTTTCCCTCCCCTCAGGAGCCTGACGGGCTGCCTGGCTCCCCGGAGCCCCTCTCCTGACCCAGGGCAGCTGCCCCTCACCCAGCAGAGCCCAGCGGGGTCTGGGGGTTGTGCTGCTGGAATCGCTCCTGGAAACTGCTCGTAATCTGCATTTGCAGGAAATAGCTTTAATCCATGGTTCCCTGGGGATTCCCAGCTGGTGGTTCCTTTCCTTACCCCGCCCAGCCTGGCACTGTGGCTCCCTGGGTGCTCACACCTGCTGTGAGTGACCCCATCTGTAGGACAGTGACATTCACCTTAGGACAGTGACATTCCTCACAGGACAGTGATGTTTCTCTCCACTCCTCCCCCCAGGCCGTGTACCGGTGCCCTGACCAGGTGTGGCACGTGGAGCTGCTGCCCCAGCCCCGGCAGCTCTACATCCTCTGCGCCCACAGCGGCATTTACTGCGTCTCCCTGGACCAGCAGGGCAGGTGAGCCTCAGTCACCCATCCCGGGGGACACGATCCAGCCTCGTGCCATCAGCCCTGGGGACACTTCTGAGGGCTGGGGGGCACGCTGGGCCTTAGCCAGCCCCTGGCTTCCACTGCTGGCCTCCCTGGCTGTCCTGCCGGCACGGGAAGCATTACCCGGTTTGAAGCTCCAGCTCTTGCAGCAGACGCTAAAAGCTGCACTGCAGGGAGGTTGTTTCCCTGGGCCAGGGTAAGAAGCAGCCAAGGGAAGTGCTGGCTTCACCCCACACCTTGGCTCAGAGCTCTTCCCTGTTTGCTTGAAGGTTAATGGAGCAGACGGATGGCGACGGCCAAGAAAGCAATTGCCCTTCCGGCGTCTTCCCCGTGGACTCAGACGCCTGCATCTTCCCAGACTCCAGCCTGTGCATGTTCACTCTGCTCAACAGCTTTGTCATCACCTTGTCCCAGGCTCATGGAAAGTGGTGGATGAAACTGCACGAGCTTCCTCGCCCTGAGCAGGAGAGTCCCCTGTACCGGCAGGTCAGCGAGGTGGGCTTCTGTCCTGGCCCCCAGACTGGGGATGAAGAGGATGGTCCCCCCTCCTGCTTCCTGCCCGTCCTGTGCTGCGCATCATCCCCCGGCACCCTGGAGTCCGGGGAGGAGCTGTGGTGCTCAGGGGGCTTCGTGCTGGAAGAGCCCCTCTTCAGCCTGCTCTTTGGGATCGATGCTGCCATGCTGGAGTCTCCAATGATCCTCTGCGGCTTCCCAGATGGACAGCTCTGCTCCGTGCCACTGAAGGCCCTCAGCTCTTCACCAGCTGTCAATGGCTGCCACGATGTTTCGAGCCAAGACCCCCCCGTGAAGATCCTCCATCCTTTGGAAGAGCCCATTGTCTTCATGGGGGCCTGGGGGACGGAGCGGAGGGCGGCAGAGGAAGCCGAGGACGAGCAGCTCTTTGGAGAGGCCGGCTGTGACTGCGTGGTGGCCGTGGGCCACTACGGGAAGATGGTGGCCATGAAGGCGGATCAGCGGGAGGAGGCGACGGTTCCGGAGCTGCGGGAGTACTACCTGCGCGGGCCCATCCTCTGCGCCGCCTGCGGCAGCGGCAGCCGCATGTACTACAGCACGCACTCGGACATCTCCGCCGTTGACCTGGACTGGGGCGGCGATTCCTCCGACCCCGAGGACGCGGAGAGCTGCACCGGGGTCCTGCCTCCCGTCCTCTCGCCGGCCAGTTTAAGTATCTGTAGCGTTGTGGCCCTTTCCTTGTCGTCTCGGGCATCAGAAGGTACTGCTGGCAGCGGGGCGTGCCGGGGCGCGGGGCGGAGCTGGGCAGGATAGCTGCCTGTTCCGCCCCTCTGGTCGGTCCGGATTGGGCTCCGTCCTCATCCGTTCTTGTTGACTCCCCTCGTTGTTGTAAGTCGTTTCTGTCGAGCATGCTGACTCGGGCCCCGCGCGAGGCGCTGGCAGCTCCGGCGCTTCCCCGCCCGCTCGCCGCTCCCAGCTCGGCCTGGCCAGAGGCAGCCAGTCTGCACAGCTTCCCTCGGGATGGCAGCACCAGCCCTGGGCCGGCCTGGAGGAGGCTCACTCTGGAAAGGAGGTCCAAGTGTGCTGCTTCCTGGTCCGGGGGCTCCTGCAGGCTCTAGGGGGGTTGTTGTTCCCCCGCAGCCTGGGCAGCCTGTGGTGACAGCCCAGGCACATGGCAAGGTGTGCTCACCCTTGGAAGGGAGCAGAGGGCTAAGACGGGGATAAAGCATCTCGTAGCCATAGCGGAGCCCCTTGTCCTGGGCAGCACAAAGAGCAAGGGGGGCCAGAGCAGGCAGGAGAGGCAGAGCAGGCAGCCCTGCCCACACCAGCCCTGCTCGCTGCCCGCAGAGCTGCATGCCTCGCCGCTGGGCACCCTGCATGGCAGTGCTGGCTCCTGGGATGCTGTCACCCCACTGGTGCCTCCCCCAGCTGCTGCTGGCCTTGGCTTGGGGATGGCCAGCTCCAGGAAGCATGGCTGGGGACAGGACAGGCAGGAGGGGGATGTTTCCCCTCCGGGAGGGCTGTCTGCCAGCTGGGTGTGCTGTCGTGGTTGTGTCCTGTCTCTGTCCTACCCTGCCACAAACGGAGACAATCCCTCTGGCTCCTGCTGCTCTGGGGCAGGCAGTGCAATCCCGTGCTCCTCCCATCCCCTTTTTTCCACCCCCCACCCCCCCGGGCAGCCCCGGGCCCCCCCCACAGCCCCTCCTTGCTTGACCTGCCCTATCTCTGCCTGCAGGTGAGTCGGAGCTGCTGGCCCTGTCTGCCAAAGGCCGACTGATGAGCTGTGACTTGTGCAGCCCTGAGGACACTGACGTGGGGCTGACGCCTGCTGAGGCTGGCAGGAGGATTAAGGAGCTGCTCTCCGGGATAGGCAACACCTCAGAGAGGTAAAGGGCAGCTCAGGCCCCTCAGCCCTGCCAGCTGCCAGGGTTGTGGAGACCATGACAGGGTTTTATGTTTCAGTTGTGAGTGCTCTGGCAGGAACTGCTCCAACCTTTCTGGAGTGCAGGAGCCTGGCTGGGAAGTTCCCCCCTGCACCTTCCCAGATCAAAATGGGATAAAAATAGTGTTTAAGGGCTGCTCCCCTCCCCCAGGCACAGCCAGCTCCAGGTTGATGTTTGCAGCCTCAGCAGCAGAAGGTGGGGGGGGGGCAGGATGCCAGCCGCCCTGCTGCGCTTGCCAAGCCCGTGGTGACAGGCAGGGCAGGCACAAGCATCTGTGGCCATCTGCCCCCAGCAAGGGGAGATGGATGAGTGTCCCACCCTTTCACAGGGGTCTGGGGTCTGGCTGGTTGGAGATGCTCCACAGGGTCTGATCAGCTGGTGGAGGCTCATGGGGAGAGCGACCTGTTGGACCCAGGGGGCCTTGGACAGGGACCTGGGGTGGCTCAGGGCACCAAGCTCGTGCTTGGCTCATCTGCCAGGTGACATAGCAGCCTCTGACCAACACCATGCACCCCTTCTTGACCTGGTTGCTGTCCTGCCCGCGATTTCAGCACCAACACTTTGTCCTTGCAGAGTTTCCTTCCTGAAGAAGGCAGTGGACCAGAAGAACCGAGCCCTGGCCAGCCTGAACCAGGTGATGAACGTGAGCGCGGCTCTGCTCTCCAGCCAGGAAGGCCAGAAGCCCATTGCCTGCACTGTCACTGCCAACTGGAGCTGCCTCCTGCTCCAGGATACTGTCACCATCTCCTGTCTGCTGGAGAACTGCAGCGAGTACAGCCTGGAGGAGGGCTGGACCCTCTGTGTGCAGCTCCTGGCCAGCCCCTGTGCCTTAGAGGAGGAGTCGTCTGTGGATTCAGCCACCACCTTCACCTTCCCCATCAACCAGCTCCTCCCTGGGAACAAGAGAGAGCTGACGCTGCCCCTCAGCTCTGCTGCGGACACCAAGCTGGACCTGCCTCTGACCATCTCCTGTGCCCTCTACTACAGTTTGCGGGATATTTTGGGCGGTGGCTCTGACTCCTCCGAGGCCCTGGACGATCTCCTGCCAGATGACTCACCCATCCTCTCCCCGGACAGAGAGGGGATCTGCCTGCCCCTCAGTGAATGCACCATTGACATGCTCCAGTGCCTCCGTTTCGAGAGCAGCACCCCTGGGCCAGACACTTCCCCACCAGCCCCTGCTCCCCGTGTACCCCCAGACCCCGTGGAGACCTTCCTCAAGGTATCCCAGGAGCAGACTGCACCTGAAGAGGGGAAAGCCAGTGAGCTGCCACAGGCCCCGGCAGAGGAAAACCTTCCCCCCTCAGCAGCCTCCATCAGGGTGTCCTCAGAGCTGCTGAAAAATGCACTGAAAACCTCCAGCTCAGGTGGGTGCCTGGAGAGGAGCATCTTGGGAGCTTCTGGGATGTCTTTTTGGGGACAGGCAGCTGTGGCCATCCCTGGAGAGGCTGGGATGGCACCATCACAGCCCATGTGTG